AAAATCGGTTTGCGAAGCAGGGACCAAACATTGTCCAGCGAAATTCCTCCATAGGAATCACTGTTTTGCGAATCGCTATAGCGATCGAGTCAAGTCAATGTCTAGCGAAAAAACTGTCATGCGGAGTAACTGTCTAGCGAGGCACCACTGTACAATCCTCCGGTTGAACATATACCCAGCGGGTGTAACTCAGATGTGCATTAAGATAGACAGGATGTGCATTATCCATAGATAGACAGAATCTTCTCCCCTCATGCGAAAGGGCACCGTAAAAAAAAAAGACAGCACATTTTTAGAATTGTGAAACATCCCAGGGACGTTCTCGGCGAAACGTTCTTCTGTTTTTCTGCAGCAGGTGTCGAGAGAACCGCCGAGCCTGAAAGGAAGTCGCTCGAATGACATCCTCCAGCCCCGAGAGAGCATCAAAGCGCACAGGAAGCGGGTTGATCTCTCCGAAGACGACTCCCCCCCAGATCCGCTCCGTGGTCCGTTGCCGCAGTCCGAACCAGAAGCTCGGAAAGACGACAGACCGAGCGTTTCGGAGAGCGAGAGCCCGCTGGTGAGTCTTGATTCGGGACTGGCGTGAATGACGTTCATTTGATTTCCAGAGCTTTGAAAACTTATTAGAAAGTTAGGAGCGACCCTTCCAAAGGATAATCTCCCTCCCCCCCAAAAAAAGGTTTCCTGCTTTGCAGCTGCAGTTGTTAAAAAAGAAGGTATAACTTTTGTTGTTTTAGACAAAACAACAACGCTGTTTGAATTATCTTTTTTTCAAAGCAACAGAAATTAGGAAGCAGTGGGATTGTGGTGCAAAATATATACTGCGTTTCTCCAAATATAAGACAGGATCTTATATTAATTTTTGCTCCAAAAATGCATTAGGGCTTGTTTTCAGGGGATGTTTTATTTTTATCGTGTCCAACCATCTACATATATTCAAATACAGTCTGGCTGCTGCACAACCATCTACATATATTCAAATACAGTCACGCCATCGTCTTCTGGCTGCTGCGCAAGGGTGGAGGGCGATGTTTCACTTAATGCTTCTTTTGGGGGTAGGGCTTATATGACAAGCACCCTGAAAAAATCCTAATAGGGCTTATTTTCAGGTTAGGTGTTATTTTCGGGAAAACAGGGTAGAAACACTGCAGAGGTAGCCCTCTGTTGTCCTATTACCCTATGTAATGCAGCATAAAGGCTATTTTGCTGAAAAAGCCATTCACTATAAGGAACTCATTTCTTTGTATGACTGACTTCCAAACTACGGTTTTTGAGAAGAATTTGCTGAAAGGCACTAACTTGAAATGGAAAGGATACAGTGGTGCCTCGCTAGACAGTTACCCCGTATGACAGTTTTTTCACTAGACGTTGACTTTTTGCGATCGCTATAGCGATTCGCAAAACAGTGATTCCTATGGGGAAATTTCGCTGGACAGTGTTTGGTCCCTGCTTTGCAAACCGATTTTTGCTAGATGACGATTTTGACAGCTCCCTCCATGCTCGCAAAATGGGTGTTTTTGGGCCCTAAGCTTCGCAAGACAGCTATTTAAACAGCTGATCGGCAGTTTGCAAAGCGGCTTTCCTATGGCCGATCTTCGCTAGACAACGACGATTCTTCCCCATTGGAACGCATTAAACAGGTTTCAATGCATTCCAATGGGGAAATGCTTTTTGCTAGACGATGATTTCGCTAAACAGCGATTTCAGTGGAACGGATTATCATCGTCTAGCAAGGCATCACTGTAATTTAAATGATCTCCTCTCCAAGCTGCCAGTGCCAAATAACAGGTAAATTCAAGACCTCTGCTTTTTTTCAGTTTTCTTTTCTTTTTATGGTTCTCTAACTTTAAAACCACCTCCTGCAGCAGGAGGATCTTGGAATGACAGAGCCAGAAGGGAACTCCACGGATCGTCAAAGTCCAGTTCTGTTGTTTGGATGATTTAGGAGTTGATAACGCAACAGGATGGAGAACAGAGCAGTAAATGTTGAATGGGAAAATGACTTATCTCCATTCTTCTTTCCAGTCCCCGTTTGTCAGGCTAAGGAGGCTGGCTGCTCCTCCGGAAGAAGAGATTCCCGGACGCCGAAAGGGGGAAGAGGAGGTAAACGCAGGCCGGGAGAAACGCTTGCAGGCTTCTGAGGGTTTTCTGAACCACAGCTGGGAGCCGAAACCCAGTATTGTTTTTTTTTTCCTGATAGGTTGCAAGAGAGCTCCTCCGCCTTGACCACACACACCCATGCACACAAAATACATCCGTGTGTGAAATTACGGTATACTTAGAAAACCTCAACATGAACGTCCTAACTAAATGAGCCAACTCAGCAGGCTTATAGGTTGCCCTCCACAGTAGCTCCAGGAATAACATTTTAGCCCATGATCCCCAGTTGAAGGGCACAGAAACCCTTTCAGTGGGAAGAATAGGATAGCAATCCTTTTCTTGGGAAGAGTTATTTATTTATTTATTTATATGATTACAGAAGGAGCCCCCACCCCAATATCCACAATTCTGGGGCCCCTTCCTCCCTCCACAGATGCTGGAAAACGTGGATGACAGCAAATGCCATTTTAATAGCATGGTCTCTGTTTCCCTCAGCGGCTAGTTCTAGTCACTTCATCTTTAGAAATATATGTTTTCTTTTAATACTGTATGTTTAATATTTTCAGACTGTGGATAAGTGAATCAACAGATACTGATCCCTGACACAAAGGGGGCCAGCGTATTATT